AAATGAAGTATGTAAAACACTCAGCATGTAACATAGAAGGAGCTCAACAATTGGAAGGAAACTGTTAGCCTGCATGGGGGTTCATAACTGTGACCCTTGCTACTTAGGAATCTAAGATCAGGAGGATCACAGATCCAGGCCAGCCCAGGCAAAAAGTTCTTGAAACCCCATCTCAACCAATACCCAGGCATGGTTGCTTATGCTTGTCGTCCTAAGCTACAGAAGGAAGAGTAAAATAGAAGAATGGTGATCCAGGCCAGTCTGGGCAAAAAGTGAGACCCTATCTCCAAAAACACCAAAGCAAAAGGGCTCAAGCAGTAGAGTACCTGGTTTGCAAGCATGAAGTCCTGAGTTCAAATCTCAGTACCACCACCACCAAAAAAAAGCCCCGAAACAAAACAAGAAGCTGTTTTATCATTCTTTCTATCCACAATTCACAGGGAGGGTCTTTAATGCAGGGTGGGTCCTTTGTGTCCGCTGAGCACCCCCTGGACGCCCAATGATGCCTTGGGTGCTGTGAACTCGTGGAGATACCAGCAGTAATGAGACCCCAGACTGCCTCCAGGGTCAGGACATGAGCCAGGGCCCAAGGTGTGGTTCCCGAGAGCTACTCGGCCTTCCAGCTGCAAGTTCCTCCAAGGCCGAGACACTGCTGCTTCTAGTGTACTGGTTTTCGTTTTAAATCAAATGCATCCTTATTTGAGAAGGCATGGATCTTGCGGAAAAGCAGAGAACAAAATTGCCCCTCTGACCCCTCCAGAGCTGTGCACTGCTAGCATTTCTGTGAACTCCCTACTTCTGTGCTCTCTGTTTTATAAGAGTTTGTCTCCTACTAGATATGCAAGTTCATATCCAGTTTAGTTTTTTTTTTCTTTTTTCCTTCTTTTATAAGCATTGAACTCACTCCAAAAACATGGTTTCATGGCTTCGTAAGAGTAAATCCCATGGCTGAAGCAGGGATCAGCTGACTAACTTCTGATTGCAGCTTCCCCACTTAGCAGACACATGACAGTGGCCAAGTGACTTTGAGACTCTGCTTCTTCCTTTATACAATGTTGCAGAGGGAAGATGAAGTAAAATCTCCTACAGCTATGTACGGAGAGATGTGATGACCATGTGACCATTAGCTCAGAGCCCGTGACATAGAAAAGCACTAAATGGCAGTCATCAGAATTGCTATTATTAGCCAGACAGGGCGCCCACGCCTGTAGTCCCAGCTACTCGTGAGGCTGGGGTGGGGAGCTCACTTGATCCCAGGAGTTCCAGGCCAACCTGGACAGCATGATAATATCCTGACCATCCCAAAGAAAAGAATTTTCCTTATCACTCCGTAGTCATTCTTCTATTTCTGAATATTTAGGGTGTTTCTGATTTAGTTTTAAAAAAATAATTGTTATGACATTTTTAAATTTAAATCTTTCATATTTCAACTTTTTCCTTAGGATTTTATAACCTTATTGGTCCTGGGTGTAAACATTTAAAAGCTCAGAGTCTAGAACCAAGCTGTGTTGACTCACATCCCAGTTAGGCTACTTACTGGTCCTCAAAAAGTCACCTAACCTCAAGCTGGGAACAGTCTCTCATGCCTGTAATCCCAGATCCTGGGAGGCACAGGTAGGAGGATTGCAGTCCAAGGCTGGCACCAGGCAAAAAGTATGGGTCCCAATCTGAAAAATGACCTAAAGAAAAGGACTTAGGGTATGACTCAAGTGGTAGAGCACTTGCCTAGCAAGCGTGAGGCCCTGTGTTCAAACCCTAGTACCGTCACCCACCCTCTAAAAAAGTTGCTTAAGTTCTTCTCTTCTCTAAAATGAGAAGGTAACAGTATCAATTGTCATGAGGGTTAAACCAGATGACAGACGCAAGGCATCCAGCAAAAAACAGTAGCCCGTGTCGTTCTCATGCTCACTGCCAGTGCAATTTTCTCATTCATTCCTAGTAGTGCTAGGATGAGCACACAGTAGGATTGCAATTATCGCACGTAATGTAAAACTGAGTGGAAAATCAGTTGCTCTGGGTGACCGTCAAGTGCTCTGGAAGATGGCCTGCCTCCTTGGGAGGAGGTCCATCCAAGCCAGGCCGGTCCTCCCTCCTTGCCTTGTCCACCCTCTACCTGCAGCCTGGGTCTTTGGAAGAACCTCTCCTTTTTGTCTCAATTCAACTTTCAACTTACAACACTGTCCACTTGTTACAGGGTTTCCTTGACAAACTCCCAACTAGTGTTTGACCTCTACAGAGCTTCTGGGATGCAACCATGCTCCCTCTCCATGCTGCTGACACCTAAAGGCTTAGGGACCTTCCTGGATGTGGACTTAGGCTTAGAGCTCTTGTTTTATTTCTCATCCACAGCCTTTTTTGTGTTTTGCAGTACTAGGGTTTGACCACAGGGCCTCAGGCTTGCTAGCCAGGCACCCTACTGCTTGGGCCATACCTTCAGTCCTTTTTTTCTGTGGTTATTTTGGTATCAACAGGCTTTTGGCCTAGGCCAGCCTATACTAAGACCCTCCTATTTTATACTTCCTGCCATAGCTTGGGATAACAGTCACACACACCATTGTGCCCAGCTATTGGTTGGGGTCTCTGGAACCGAGATCCTCCCAGTCTCAGCCTGCCATGGAACTACAGTGTTGAGCCACCAGCACCTGGCTTCACCTGCAGCCCTTTTTGATGTCCTGAGGCCATCAAGCTAACTCATTCCAGGCAGGAGAACTTGAGCATTTGTTATCTTCAGGATACTGTGCTGTGTGCTACCTCAGCTAGATCATCCCTCACACGGAAATCTCTTAGCTGACTAATCAACCCTCTGTGTTTGGTACTTGCTGTCAAAATAAATAAACCTTGGTGCACAAGTACAACTCCTTAAACAAACCTAAGAGATATCACCTGGAGATGTATGAGCAAATCCACCACAAAATCCAAATGGGAAGATTGGTTTGTGCCAAAACATAGGATTGGCAAGCCATCTAGAAACCCCATACTGCAGGCTTACCAGGACAGAAGCTGGGGTCGGCAGTAGCACTGCTGAGCTTGTTGTAACAGCTACTGAGAGGGAAGATTTCCACAAAATAGGCATGAGGGATGGAGAGTCAAGGGGCTACCTACCAGGAGCTAAGCATTCCAAAATGAGTTCTTCTACAACAAAACTTAAAATACGGGTCTCAAATCCTCAAAGTAGCTCCATCCTAATATGTCATCTTCAAGGAAACTGTCAGTTTTTTTGCGATACTGGGGCTTGAACTCAGGTCCTTCCTCTTGAGCCACTCCACCAGCCCTATTTTTGTGAACTTTTTTTTGAGATACAGTCTTATCAACATTTGCCCAGGCTGGCTTCAAACTGCAATCCTCCTGATCTCTGCCTCCTGAGTAGCTAGGATTGCAAACTAAGACAGGCAGACACATGGCGGCCGTACTCCAAACCTCCCACCTTTTGCCCAAGACAGACACCCATCTTCCCATGGTCCTGGACATGGGCTTGCAATCAGTGGCAACCTAGGGCTTTGGGCAGTGACTTCTAGCAAATGGAGCTGAGGTGCCATCTTTAATCTGTTGTAGTCTAGGAGCCGGGGCACTGCCAACACCTAGAGAGAAAATATGGAGAGGAAAAGAGAAAGAAGTCCAAGCACTGAGCAGCTGTTTGGAAATGAGGTAGTGTGGTTTTGAAGACAGCCCCATGGCTGGGTGGGTGTGACAATGCAGGCTAACTCCCTTTTGGGGCCTTCCAATAGGTGGAGATTGGCTGTGTGGCCTTGGGCGAGTCCTGGCACCTATGGGAGCCTGTTTTTTTATTCATCAGGGACTGCTGTGTGAGTAACTACAACAATAAGAACTGTTCAATCAGGCCTGGCTCTAAGAAGCTGTTCTTAATTTAAATACAGACCGGGTTAAATAAAGAAGAGTGAAATAAACTACCCTCTCTCAACAACCCAATCTTAGGACGAGCTGGACAGTTGACGAGACAGAAAACCCCCTGTTCTAGAACTGGAATCTCTTGTTTCCAGTGGGAAATGTAAACCCTTCAAAGCTTCTTGCCAGGAGCTGCCCAGAATATAGTCACCAGGGCTCCTGTTTCCTAGCTGAAGCTTTGCCCCACACCCAAGTAGACCCCACAGACAGAGACAAGTGTAAAATGACAGGTGTCCTTCTTCACCTTTACCAGGTCTCTAAAGGGCACAGGTCCTTTGATTTAGCAAAGGGAGCCCTGCATCTAGAATTCAGTGAGGATGCCACACATCCTGCTCCCTTACTGTGCCACCAAAGATGGCAATACTTGGACAATACTTGTCATTTTTTTTTTTTGCAAGCGTTGTGCTGAAGATCAAACCCAAGGCCTCACACATGCTAGGCAAGTGCTCTACCACTGAGCTCCATCCCCAGCCCCTTATCATCATTATTTTATATACATAATGTAAGTCCTGTGTGGATCTTTAGGATATAGGAAAAAGGAGAAAAAAGAAAAGAAGCATTCATATTCCCACCTCTCAGGGGGAAGAAAGCATTGCTATCTATCTATCTATCTGCATGTTTACATTTTGAAAAATGTGGGGTTTTGGCCAGGCTTGGCGGTATGTGACTGTGATCCCAGCACTTGGGAGATGGAGGTAGGAGGATTATGAATTTGAGAGTTTGATGCCAGCCTGGGATACACAGTAAGATCCTGTCTCAAAAAAAAAAAAAAAAGAGGCAAGGAAGGGGTTTAAATTAAATTTTCCTGTGTAATCTCTCTCCCCCTCTCTCTTTCTAGTTTATCATTACCAGTTCAAGATCCAATTCATCAACCAAATTGAGAAGCCAGTCGAGCCAACTTTTGCCATGTCACTTCTTGGGACCAAAGGGGAAATGCAGAGAATTCCCATCACTCTGTGAGTACAAGGTGCCATCCCATCTCTGCTTGCTTTTCTGACATGGTCAGGACGGACTCTAGTTTTCAGGGGTCGGGTTAGACACTTTTCCTATTATGGCTGCCCTAAACATCCTGCCCAATGGGGCATCCACCCTTGCAGCCCTCGCTGGGCTCACAGAGTCCACTGGTAGCTGACAACACTGGCTGCATGCATGATGGGACCAAAGCCTGTGAGCAGAGAGGGCAGTCAGAGGTGTTCCCACCCGTGTCTGCCAGCAGGGAGAGGCTGTGAGGGTTGAGCAGGTGTTCACAAGGCCCCGTGCACCTTTCCAGTGAGCTCTGGAAACCACAGCCTAGAAATAAAACTGGTATCATTCACCTTGGCACAATTTTGCAATCTCAGTCAGCCTGTGCCAGCCCTCCCATCTGTCCTTCCCCCTGTTAAACACCTGCTTACAACACCAGCAGCCTCACAACGCCTCACCACAACACCTCCTAAGCTTTGCCAGCTAAAAAAATGCATGTGAGTAGGCCAGGTATAGTGATTCATACTTATAGTCCCAGCTATTCAAGAAAGACCATGGTTCAAGGCCAACCCAGGCAAAAGTTAGTGAGAACTCATCTCGACAAACTGCCACCTGTCATGCTAGCTACTCAGAAGGCATAGTTAGGAGGATTGTGATCCAGGTTGGCCCAGGTAAATATGAAAAATAACTGTCTGAAAAATAACTAGAGCAAGAGAGGGCTGAGGTATGCCTTAAGTGGTAGAGCAGCTGCCTAGCAAGCCCAAGGCTCTGAGTTCAAATCCCAGCACCACAAAAAAGAAAAGAAAATATGTGTGAATTGATTTCTCCTAGCATCTCAACTTTCTGCAAGGACTCCCTGGGGAGTGACAGTAGCCCTACACCCACTGGCAGGATGGCCTTAGCTTCCTGAGGAGTGTCCCCAGCTTTGAGTCCCTGGTTGTCACACTGATTCAGTCGGTCAGCACATACTACTGGTGCTCTGCTGTGGAGGTAGAAACAACCCTACCTTAGGATGCTCGTAACTAAGTAACATACTGTAGGGAGCCACACCAGGGAGCCCCCCTCCACCTGCCAGGCCCCAGACCCAGCGTCCCCTCTGCAATGTCTACCATCTCTCTGGAGGGAACTGGTCTCAAGGGTGTTTAGCTGCTGTGTCAACACTGGGATATTGTAATGCTTGGAGATTCTGAGTAAAGCTCAGCCTCAGCTCAAAGTCTGCATTTAAACCTTGCTCTACACTGTTCATTCACAATAGCCAAGTTATGGAAACAGCCAAGATGCCCCACTACTGACGAGTGGATCAAGAAAATGTGGTATCTATACACAATGGAATTCTATGCAGCCATGAAGAAGAACGAAATGTTATCATTCGCTGGTAAATGGATGGAATTGGAGAACATCATTCTGAGTGAGGTTAGCCTGGCCCAAAAGACCAAAAATCGTATGTTCTCCCTCATATGTGGACATTAGATCAAGGGCAAACACAACAAGGTGATTGGACTTTGATCACAAGATAAAAGCGAGAGCCCACAAAAGAGATATGAGGATAGGTAAGACACCTAAAAAACTAGCTAGCATTTGTTGCCCTCAACGCAGAGAAACTAAAGCAGATACCTTAAAAGCAACTGAGGCCAATAGGAGAAGGGAACCAGGAACTAGAGAAAAGTTTAGATCAAAAAGAATTAACCTAGAAGGTAACACACACGCACAGGAAATCAATGTGAGTCAATGCCCTGTATAGCTATCCTTATCTCAACCAGCAAAAACCCTTGTTCCTTCCTATTATGGCTTATACTCTCTTTTCAACAAAATTAGAGATAAGGGCAAAATAGTTTCTGCCGGGTATCGAGGGGGTGGGGGAGAGAGGGATGGGGTGGAGTGGGTGGTAAGGGAGCGGGTGGGGGCAGGGGGGAGAAATGACCCAAGCATTGTATGCACATAGGAATAAAAATCAAAAAACAATCTTGCTCTAAATGATGCATCTTTTTTCTATGTTGTTTTTCTAATACTGTTATGCCTTATTGCTTTACAAAATTTTTCTATTTATATAGCAGGGGGACTTGCATTACTGGGAAGAGAAGAGTGTGGTGTGGGTGTCGGGGTTGATCACCCACAGAGACCTGAACCGTCCAGAGCCATCACCCACACCCACTGTCTCCTGGGCAGCTCCTTCCTAGAAGCTAGAAAGAAACAGCCCAAGCTACAGGATATTAACTAGATCCACATCAACAACAGGATGGCTCAGACGTTTGTAATATGCAACACAGAAAATAGAATCATATTCCCAATTTGTTTGCTCGAGGAACCCTGTCATCCAGCCACACCTATTACCATGTCTGTTACTAAGTGATTAAACACTAGTTAGGGAAATGTGACAAAAAGTACTATCCCAGGTCACTCAGGCAACAGGACACATGCTGAGAGTGCCTGGCACCACTGCCATTACAAGTGAACTGAATGAACTATCTGCTTTCTTTGTGTCTTCCAGGGGTGAAGGAATTACTAGTAATAAAACCTATTCCTTTCTTATCACGTTGGACTTGGATATCGGTGAGTTGGTCATGATCAAGTTCAAGTGGGAAAACAGCGCTGTGTGGGCCAACATCTGGAACACAGTGCAGACCATCTTCCCATGGGGCACGAAGCCCCACTACTCAGGCCTTGTTCTGAAGACCATCCGAGCCAAAGCCGGAGAAACCCAGCAAAGGTGACCGCTAACTTGACCTCCTGAAACTAACATGTACAGCATCTTCAATGCCAGGCAGTTTCACAGCTCAGTGCTCACATTAACCAGTGCAGTGGGTATTCTGATGCCCTAAAGATGGCATCAAGAGTATAGATGCGCAAAAGGTGATGTATCCACCCAAGTCCACAGAGCCATAGGTGGAAGACAAGGATTTACACCCAGGTCTGCACACTCCCCATCCAGCCTTTCCCATGTGCATAGTGAACCACCACCTCCCTCTGGAGTCTGAGAACTGCCTCTCCAGCCCAAGGCTCCTCAAACTCCAGTGTGCAGATGAGTGATGAAATCAGTGCTTCTGGCCCCGGGATCTGCTGTTAGCTGCAACATTTCTTTGTTGACCTAAAGAATTGCTTTTCACAGATTGCAATCCCAATTTATCTTTCTCTGTTAGGGTATTCTCAAATCTTAGGTGCCAAGGAAGCTCATTAAACATGCAGAATTCCTGGACCCATGTGCAGAGCCTGTGATTCATCGAGGTCTTGGGAAGGGACCCAGGATGCAGGGTTGTTTTTTGGGTTTTTTTTTTAATCAAGATGTGAACCAATGGTCTACCCTTAAGACCCACTGGTTTGTGTGCTTTATCATCTCTCCTGGCCCCAAATTCCCTGGGGACAAGAAGGAGGTGGGGTGGTGTAGGAAGGAAAGAACAGGAAGGTTGGTCCAGCTACTCCTACAGATTTCCACCAGAGAGGAGGGATACCCAGCCCAGTTTGCCATGGAAACCGTGCTTTTGTAAAGCTCTGTAATTTCCATGACGGGACAGCTCTTTGCTTCCCTAGGCCCTTTGCTACCTCCCCACTTCTCTATTCAGTAACTTGCAGCTCCTCCTCCACCTTCCTTCACTGGGAAAGCCATCTCTCTCTCTCATTGACTCAGCCTTAGTAGAGATGGAGAACAGCGAGCTTCTCACCTCTGAACTCCACACCTTCCTCACCCTTGGGTTTCCCTGCTGGGAGCCAACCTATGGCAGATTTATGTCCCTTGTGTCCCTTGTACAACTGCACTCTGAGATTTTATGTCCTGGCAATGTCTGAGAGCACACTCTGCAGTCTGCCAACAGATTTCTCCACGTGATCAATCTGAGGGAATCAAACTTCTCTCTCCTTTTACACACCTGGCTGTTCTTGACTGACTGTTTGGCCCTGCAAAGCCAGACTCAGGCTCTCTTCATTAGAAAGTAACTCCTCAGTTTGGATGGCTGTTCACCATGACCATTCTGTGTGCCCTGCCCTACAAGGTGGCATAAACACAGCACTGCCATTGCACTGGTTCCCACACCGATGGGACTGAAGGAGGAGAGAGAAAGGAAAGGGACTGGTATTTCGAGAACTCCCATGGTATGGAGGGTATTGAATGACGCACTCCCTGGCATTAATCTCATGTAACCTGCCCAGTGGCCCTCATGGGGTTGCAGTGGCTGTGCAGTGAGGAACCCGAGGCTCACAGAAGCCACACAGCTCAGGGACATCACCAGTGATTGTTCCCGCCCAGATCTGCTTGCCATTTTCCATTTGTTTCCTGTGTGCTGCTTCCAGTAGTTCCTTGTCCTTTCTTAGTCTAATGTAGCAGAGTTGCAGTGCTGGACATTAATACGGAGATGCATCAAACGCTCCAAACACAGGAGGTGCATGTTTAAAAGGGGGTATACTTGCCAGGCACTGGTGGCTCACGCCTACAATCCTAGCTACTTGGGAGGCTGAGATAGGGAGGACTGCAGTCTGAGGCCAGCCAAAATAACCAGAGCAAAATGAACTGAAGGTATGGCCCAAGTGGTGGAGCACCTGATTTGCAAGCACAACACCCTGAGTTCAAATCCCAGTCCAAAGAAAAGGGGAGGCAGCGTCCAGGACTATAGTTTTCTATGTTGTCAATACTGAGGATCTCCTTGTGTCTACACAGTGCCAAGTACCACTGGGAGCACTCCCAAAATCTGAGCTGATGGGCTGGGGGCTTGGCTCAAGTGACAGAGCTCTTGCCTAGCAAGCACCAAGGCCCTGAGTTCGTACCCTAGTACAGCCAAGGAAAAAAAATCTTAGTTGTGGCTCTTAGCATAAAGAAACTCTAGGATCCAATTAGGAAAACAAGATTAATTGATTTTACTAATGGTATGCTCCACCCCAGACTTCTGAAACTTTGATGTACATACAGATTATCTGGGGACTATGTTAAGATATGGGCCTGGGGATGGGCTGAGAGTCCACATTTTTTTTCAGTGCTGAACCCAGGGCTTTCTGCACACCAGACAAGGGCTCCACCACTGTCCCCACAAGACAGTCCACATGTCTAACAAACTCCAAGCTGATGTTTTACTGCTGATCTTTGGACCACACTTCCAACTGCAAGAACCCGGCAGTCATAGTCTAGTTAAAAGACAGCCGGTGCAGGTTGGTGCTGCCGAGTCTGTGCTGCAACCTTGACTTTGAAGGGCCAAGAGGCATTCCCAGGAGACAGGTAGCGAGCCAAGCAATATGGCAGGTGGGATCATACAAACTTCTCATCAGCCAGTCTGAACTCACATTTTTACTTCACCACCTGTGTAATCTCAAATAATAACTCCATCACTGTGAGACTCAGTTCTTCAGTAATAAATGGGAATTGTAATATGTATCTTATGAGACTAAGAACAACTACCAGCTGTAGTACCTTCTGCAGACCTAAATCCAGAATCAAGATGCAAAGATTATTCTTCCTTCTTCTTCTTTTTTGTTTATTTGATGGGACTTCAGGGCTTCATGCTTGCAAAGCAGGTGCTCTACCACGTGAGCCACACCTTCAGTCCATTTTTCTCTGGTTATTTTAGAGATTGGTCTCTCAAACTATTTACCTGAACTGGCCTCCAACCACATTCCTCCTAATCTCAGCCTCCCAAGTAGCTAGGATTACAGGCAAGAACCACCAGCTTCTGACATAAGCCCTATTGACTTCATTCCTCTGCTAAGTGCAAGATAAAAAGGAGGTTAGTTTACTTTCCCTCTGCCACTGATGGAGGAATTGAATGAAGGTGATTTTCTCTTCCCTTAGAGGCTCAGGCAGAGATGAGCAGGGCTGTGTAGTGGGATGAAGAGAAAGAACAGAGAATGTTGGGCCTTCCACAAGACATAAGTAATTGGTTCAACACGATGAGAAGACATTCCATTTCTCTAGTAATCATGCAAATGCAAGACAAAAAGCAATAAAATTATCACTGGCCACCCATCAGTTTGTTAGGAATTTAAAAAGATAACATCCAGAGTTAGTAAACGTGGTGAGAGAAGAGTATTTCCAAAAGCTGCTAGGGGAGTGCACATCACAGAAGCCTCACAGGGGCTCACTGGTTAATGTTCAGTGTGTGCCTACCTCATGCCAGGCACCGGGACAACTTACATTATTAACATTTTAATTATGTAAATAATGTACTTTAATAATACTTATAAAAATACTTTGATCCAGAGTTTTACTTTTAGGTATCTGTAGTAGTTCTGTAGTTCTTAGACACAGACTAAAAGTGTGCACAAGCAATATATGTACAAAAAATGCTTGTTGCAGCACTATTTCCAAACTATTGAGCCACTCACAATGCCCTTCAGTAGGAAAATACTAAGTGCCCTGTGGTATGTCCCAACAATGGGACACAGTGCTGCAGGGAATAAAGAATGAAATAGAATTCTATGTACTGATATAAACAGGTCTCTGAGAATATTCATGGGTGACAAGGGAAAACTGTAGAAAATACAAACAGTGGCCAGGCATGGGACTCATGTCTATAATCCCAGCTACATGGGAGATGTGTGTGGGAGGATCACCATCCAAGACCAGCCCAGGCAAAAAGCAAGACTGAAAAAAATAACTGAGAAGCAAAAGGGCTGCGCATGACTGAAAAAAAAAAAAATGAAAGAAAATACAAACAGCAAACTCCTACTTTCATTGTTTATAATGAACATCAGTGTGCAAATGCACAAAGATAGGTCTGAAAGAGACAAACTGAATTACAAAAGTCAGAAGGGGAGTGTGGGAGATGCAGGGCAGTGGAGAAGAGGGTCTTTATTATTTGGCTCCATGTATTTCCTTACGATTTGAATTTTCAAGAGTGCACTCATAAATTAACTCACATCAGTTTTTTAATTTGAAAGTCTGATTTAGTAAAGATCTGGCCTTAGATGTAATCCAAAGAAAAAATAAGCATAAACTAGAACTCTCTGTGACTGCAAAGAGACAGATGATAACGATGATTGATTGATAGATGATAGACTGATAGATACGCTGACGACATAGATGATTGATACATGCACAGATTGGTGGTGGATAGATGGATAGATAGATAGATAGATCTCTGATAGATAGATAATAGATGATAGATAAATAGATCCTTAATAGATTGATGGTAGATCAATGATGGATGATAGATGATAGATAGCTAGATAGAAGGAAAGGAAGGAAGGAAAGAAGGGAGGGAGGGAAGGAAGGAGGGCTGAAGTTGATACCAAATGGCACCCTCATTCCAAGGTCAAAGTCGTCTGGTGGTTGGCTTCCAAGAGAGACCCAACACATGTGTCCAGGTCTCCTTATCTGGACAGGGTCTGCATCAGTACCAGGAAGGGCAGGCTGTAGGGCCAAGCCAGACAGAGGCAATGACAGTGGCCTGCTGCCCAGGACCTTCAAGAACAAAGAAGGCAAGGTGGAGAAGGAAGCCTGCTCTGTGACGAGGAATGGTAGAGGAGAGGTTAAAGTATGCCTTGGAGTTGGCACTGCAGGGAGAGAAACAAACCTCCAGCTCAAGTCTTTGAAGAACCCTAGTGAGGGAGAACAAAGGAAGACACCCTGGGGCTTGCTGTGCCTCCAGAACTGAACCACTCAGGGCAGGGCCCCAGGAAGCCCACTGCCTTCACTGACTCAGCTTCTATTTTTCTCTGAAGTTATAAAAACATTTCCAAACATAAGAATCTAACGCTAAAAAAAAAAAAACCTCTCATCACATGCATTACACAA